AGCCTATGAATTGCCAAGACTGGGCAGGATCAAAGTATTGGAGAAAACATAATACTGCCAGCAGCTAAAGATATCATTTTAACATTATTCAACAAAAAAGTGGCTAATGAACTTAATATCAAATGATGCAGTAAGTTGACGAATTCATGAAATGCCATATTCCATAAAAGAGACACTTGTTCAAAAAAAAAAAAAATAAAACAGAGTGAGTATTTTGCATTGATATTGGATGAAAGTACTGATATAACAAACTTTATTTAATTATTAGTTTACATACGATTCGAAGAAGATAAAAAAATTGCCGAAGAGTATTTATTTTGTGAATCTCTTCATGATAGAGCAACTGCTAATACAATTTTCAAAGTAATTGACAATTTTATGTCTGAAAATAATATTCCTTGAAATAAGTGCAGTGACAGAGCTTGGGCTTTAACAGGAAAACATTTTGGTGTTATTTGTCAAATAAAGACAGTCACAGCTGAAACTAAATTTACCCACTGCTCCGTTCATTGTCAGGCTTTAGTAGCCAAAAGAATTCCCCAAAACCTGAAAATTGTTTTAAATCAAGCTGTGAAAATTGTCAGTTTTATTAAAACCAGAGTTTTAAATTAAAGATTATTTACAATTTTACGCCAAGCGATGGGCAGTGAACATGAAATGCTTCTGTTACTTTCCGAAGTAAGGTGGTTATCCAGATGCAGGGTTTTAAATCGTCTTTTTGAACTTCAATCAGAAATTCAAATTTTCCTCTGTGATTCAAAATTTGAATTGCAAAAATGTTTATGTGATGAATTATGGTTGCACTTTTAGCATATTTAGCTGATATTTTTTCAAAGATAAATGAATTAAATTTAGGATTAGAAGGACAAAGTGTTAATTTGTTTACAATTAAAGATAAAATAAATGCAATGATAAAAGAACTTGAGCTAAATGATCAAAGAATTGGACTTATAGAAAGTTTTCTAACCGATAATAATTTAAAAATTAAAGAATTAGCATCCAACATTAAAAATACTGTTTTTCATTGATAAATAATTTTAACATGTATTTTCCCGAGGATTATGAAACAAAGAATTGGATTAGAAATACACTTTGTTCAAATGTACCTGAAATTTTATCTCATGAGGAAAAGAACGATTGATAGAAATTTCCTGTCATTAAACTCTAACTGAAGATTTCAAAAATAACACATTTGCTAATTTTTTGCTGAACCGAAAAAACGAATTTAAGGGCATTTCAAATAAAGCTAGTAAATTTTTACATCCATTTTGCACAACTTATTTGTGTGAGCAAAGATTTTAATCCATGTTTATTAGAAAAATTAATACAGAACAAAATTAAAAGTGGACCCTAATTTACAGTTAAAACTAAGTGAAATATGACCAAACATGAGGAAATTGATCTCTCTTAAACAGCTCCATATTTCACACAAAATTTTCGAATTAAAGTATTATAACTAAAATTTTGATAATTAAAATGATAACCAATTTTAATATATATTTTTTCTGTGTACATATTTAATACAGAAAGGCCAGTAGGTTGTGCAAGTGGCAATATATATATATTTAATATATCTATTGAGAAATTGAAAAATAATCATTGTAAGTTGTAGTGGTGATACTAACGTTTCTGAGTTTTTATTTAGATGGTATGCATTAGTCAAAAGGTTGAGAACTGCTGATCCAGGATGTTTGTCATATTTTAGCTTTGTCAACCAACCATGAGTTTTTAGATTAATTTATTAATTAGTAAATCCACCTATCCGGGAGTAATCCACATAACCAAGAGCAACTTGCCTAACTTTTCTACATTGAGTAATTATGGCCTTGCATATTTCTTACTGATCATAGGATTATTTGGTATAATGAGCATAATTTTCTGATAATTTGAAATATACTGTAATAAAGTTGGTAATTTATTCCAGGAAAACACTTGAAAACTATCTGTTACAGGCAAGCTATGTTATTGAATTTTTTTTACAGAAAACTGGTTCATATTCACATTATACTTAACTCCTGTCAGCAATGGTATTTAGATGAATTATCAGTATTAGCTGTTTTATCCGGTTACTGCTGGTGAGCCAAAAATACTTTGATACAGGCCAAAAGTTGTGATGATATACACACACTGGCAATGAATTCGAAACCCACAATCAAGTATTTTATTGGACCACCTTTTGCACGGATAACTGTTCTGATTCACTTGGGCATTTAGTCTACATGCTCCTGGAGTGCATTTACGTCCAGAGAATACCATGCATTGGCTATGTAGCTTTTTAGATCTAAATTATATAGAAGAGAGAAGTGCTTTCGGATGCGTCTTTCCACTATATCGCACACATTTTCTGTGTGGTTAAGATCCGGGCTATGCCTTGGCCAGGGAAGTTGTTGGAAATCAGACTTATGTTCAGTGAAACAATTTTGAACACTTCTGGCATGATGTATAAGTGCATTATCATCCATGAAGTATCTGTAGCCATCAGGGTAAGAATGCAACATTTCAGGTGCACTTGATTTGCCAGTATGTCTAGGAATATCATGGCTCTTTGTTTACCCTTGAGGAATACCAGGGCACCACTTCCATGCCAGCAGAATGTGCCCTTTATCATGATACTCCCACCAGACTCTTGCACAGTGCGAATAAAGCAAGATGGCTTCATAGGGTTCTCGCCAAATTTGACGTCTTCCATCTGTGCAAAATAAGGTGTAGCATTGTACCTTAGCCTAGTGGAGTCCCTGTTCTGCCGTGCAATTCGTCAGAGACGATGCCGATCACTCTGTTGGAATATTGTGTGTGAACTGCTGTTTCATCTTCTAGAGGAGACTGTGGGTTCTAGTTCCAGTTTTTGAAAAGCTTTGCGATGGCTGCTTTTGAGAACCCAGTAAGTTTTGCTGTCTTCAAAATCAAGGCCTCTGCTAAACGGGCACCAACAATAAGCCCTTTTTCAAATGATGAAAGATCTGTCGTTTTTTTTTTCCATTTTATTTCATTCATCATGAAAAGCACTCATACACCTTACTTATACTAGCATTCTAACCACGTGTAATCCACGTCAAAAAAAAAATTTGCATACTTCATCCCTAGCGTGCATTAAAATGAAAATCTCAGGTTTCTAATTCATTGGCCAGTGTTTCTGTTATCATTGTAATGACTTTAAAAATTGTAATGACACAAAATGAATAAAATAAAAACTAAAAAAAGAATTTACACTGTTACAAATATTGCACATGAACTAACATTCTAAAACTGTTTTATCTTTATGGGAAAATTTTCATTGTATGCATATTTTGCTATATATTAACTAAAATAAGAATTTTCTGTTCTGCTTGTTAAATTCCCATATATATTTCAGTAGCACGTAACCTGTGCACTAAAAATGCTGTGAAATGTTTATCTTCCTTGGTCTGTTGTTGTTACTTAACCTTTTGACGCATGCAATATTATTTTATAATTTTTTACCTAAATACTCTAGAAATTCAATATTATGATCCTAGAGACAAATAATATATGAATTTAAAAAATCTACTCTTGCCCATTGATATGTGGGTAGTGGTCGCACTGTGAAACCAGCGCGTGTCTAGGACATTAAAACTTAGTGAGATAGTAGGAAAAAAAGCTTACATTTTCCGTGCGTATTTCCAATAAATGGCAAAATTTGCGAATTAAGATAAAAGTGTATGTAAGAATTGCATTATAAACAAATTTTTTATATTATTTTACAAAGTAAATCGTCGGAAACAAGTTAAAAAATAAACATTTATGCAATTTTTTCTATAGCAGTGAAAACATGAGAACCTACATAATAAGGACGTTCAGATAAATGTATAAAAAAAACTCTCTAAAGTAAGGGGGAAAAAAATCAGTGTTCTTTTTAAATGTCAAAGAAAAAAGATTTTTTTTGTGTGTGACACTGTTCAAAGCATGTTTTGTCTTTTTGGTACACGCATAGACCCACGTTGCACATTTCGCACCTTATCTTGTTTTACGAGGTTTTTCCCTTCTGCTATAAAGTGTACACTGCTTGGATGGATCTGCATTTTACTGGCATATGTCCAGTATCTCTTTTCATCTGGTACATGAAATTTGTGATTTTTTATGTTCATTGGAGGGGGGAGCGGCTTTTTTTTTTTTTTTTTTTTAAATTTTATTATTATTATTGGCTTTGGTACAGATCTTTTGTTTCCCATTCGTATTTATTTTGTTCGTATTTCGTCCCAAAACATTAGAAGAAAAATATTTTTAATTTAAATAAAACTTTACGCAATTTCTAATTTTAATTATAGCAAAGTATATATATATATTATATTTAATCATATGAAATAATTCATAAAATTTATAAATTTATAATTTATAAAAGTCTGTGGTAAAAAAAGGCCTTTTCAGTGGGCAGGTGCATGTATTGTTTAGTAATAAAACAACGCTGTAGTTTCAAAGCCTCTTATCCATATCCAGGTAAAAATAAACATTCCTATTTGAAAAGCAGCAAACGCCATTGTGAACAGCAGTGGTTTCAAGGTGTGAGCACTGAGCCCCTAGAGGATTGTTAGCTTTGTGATACAATGCTCTAGTGACTCAGTGGTTGTGCCCTGAAACCGCAAAGCAAATGCCATAAATATACATAGTTTTTTTTTATATGTGCAGCTTAATTATTGCTATTTTTAATTGTTAATGATAGAAATCATGATGTGCAATGAATAACTTTTGAAATTTAAAGTTGTTTATATTAATAAAAGGAAGTTATTTTGTCTCTTTGAAAACAAATTTTAAAAAGGCAGCCGTTTGAAGATCTAAGACCTAAAAAAATGTATGATTCTGAAGTCATTTTGTGTTATTTAGAGGTCAGTAATCAATTGGTTTTCACTCAAAAATTTCGGAAAGAAGAGAAGAAAACAGTTCGAAAACTGGTGGTTTCAGGGTGCGACCACAACGTGTCAAAAGGTTAAAAGAGTAATTATATGATTTCAAATATAATTTCTAAACATCTAGATTTCCCTTTTCAGATCTGGAATTCCTATGCCTTCCTTGCTCAATAAAAAACATGTTGAAGACTCATGGAGTGAAGGATGCTTTTAAGAGCCAAGTTCTATGCTTTAAACAGATCATTAATCTATCTTCTTGCTCTTTTTTAAATGCATATTAATATTTTGTATGATGTTACAAAAATAATATATAGTCATTCCATTATTCTGACACTTCAAAAGTTTTTAATAACTAACTAAATCCTAGCATTCCAGTTATTTTCTGTGAAAATTAATAGTATCACTAAACATTGTGTGATGATGTTAAGATTTTTATATATATACTGTAGTGATAAATGCAGTTGCACTCAAAAATAAGTAGTATAACCTGGGTTAGTATTTACATATTTTCCCATTGACCATAAATGTTGCCCCAGACATATGCCAATCATTCTGGTGGTAGTTTGAAGGAACAGATTCCTCTTTTTATTTAAAAAAAATCTGAGTTTTGTTTAATAATATGATCAAAAGATACAAATTAAGATTATTGTATATAAATGGAAGATTAAGCATTATGGCAATCATTCTGCTGGCCCAACTTCTCTAATGACAAGTAGTTATCTTCTTTTAAACTGAGCATAGCATAAATTGCCTTAAACTTTAAGTGTTATAATGAATGCTGTTGTGCATTGTTTACTTGACTGATATTCTAAATCACAGAATCTTTCATTGCTGTGAGTATGTGGGCCAGTATAAGCAGTCCCATAATTTAAAAAATATTTGACTATTTGCTGTTCTTAGACAAGTCCAAACTTTTATCATTTTTCTTTTTCCAAAATGCATGAAAAAAACAAATAGCAGTTCATTTATATCCTTTATGAAAACTAAGCTAGATTACTGAGGATTTCTGTTTACATAAAACCAAAGTGAAGATTTTATGAATGTATTGTGATGTAGTACTTATTCTTTACTGGTGCTAAATCACATTACGTGTGACGCCCTTTTTTTGTGTGTGTGTGAAAAAATGGTCAATGTTAAAATATGTTAGTACTTCTAAGTTAGGTTTTATTGAGCAGCATATGCATTTATCATTTTTAAAAAGGTTATTTGATTTAATATAAATATTAAATTATTCTAGGTAAATGTTTTAAAGAATTTTTAATGGTGGTGTTCATATGATCAAATGTATCAGTATCGTCTTGTTCTTCATTTTAAACTGAATAATAACTTGTGTTTAATCATAACTGCTCTAAAGATATAAATATTATGAATATTTTTTTCTTTCTGGTATTTAGTGCCAAACATTTTACTTTTAAAGACAAAAATTGAGGGGGGAGAAATTTAGCAAAAAGTGGATTTGATATCATATGGATACCTCAAGAATTTGTGATGTATTGTTGTTAAAATATAAATGTACAATCCTTGTATTTATTTTTAAATATCTTTTTTTGTGATAAGCGGATTGTGATCACTTTTATATAAATATATCAGTCTGTGTTGTCATACTGTAAAAAGTAGAAAGTATTTTTCATTACAAAATACCTTAACACAAATGTCCAGTATTTGTGTAAATGGAAATGTCTGTGAGATGAATATTTTTCAGCATGCATATGCATTATTGTTGTATCTTAAAGGAACTTGAACCAAAGTAATTATGTAATGAATTAAATATAAAATTATTTCTGAAATTTTAGTGTTAAAAATAGGGAAAATGTTACAGTTTACATCAGTAGGATGTATTTCAAAGAGTGTAATGAAACTGCTTCTAAAGTTTGGGTTCATTCATAAGAAGTAAGCTGAGCATAGTTACTGATGAATATTTTTGTAAAATAGTGACTAAAATTATTTTAAGGTTGCATACTATAAGAGGTGTACTTATCATATTATAAGGCTGATTATTGATTTCTGTTTTTTTGCGTGCTTTTATATTTGATTTGTATTTTTGTGTTTTTCTTGTCTTCTGCCCCCATATTTTTTCCATGTGTACATGGGGAAGAATAAAACAACTGAATAAATCTATGGACATGAAACTTTAAATCTTAAAATGAAATGTTTTAATTCCTTCAGAGTAATTTGCAATACTGCATTCTTACAATTATGTATTTCAAATAGTATAATGAAAATACACATCTAAAGATTGAATTCATTCATTAAGAAGTAATCTACTCTTAACCCTCCGCGTATGGCCTCCGCGATTTCCATGGGATATGAAATCCACCTCGTAATATGGGTTGCGTAAAAATTGCGTGCGTAAGTTTTATTTCTCTTAATTTCAATACCGGTCCGCTTTTTTCCCATGTAGGCTAAGAATATTTAATATTTCATGCTTCATTTTGCACCTAGACGGTACTACAGGTTTTGTTAGGGAGTACTGTTGTTTCTTCACATCCAAACACAATCAACACTGTTGTTTCTTTAGTTGTGGAATGATAAGAAAATTGTAAATATTCTTAACTCTTTTCTTGATGTGTTATCTATATCAGTTTATTCACGGATGGCAAAAGAGAAATTAAAGCCAAAAGTGATTTATAACTTTACAGTGGGGGGTGTCAACAGATGCAATCAGGAAATGTCGTACTACCCTAGTACCCGAAAACAATTTCGTAAATATTACAAGAAAATTTTTACATATATTGATCAAGCAATGTGGAATTCATATGTAATATACAGAAGAATAAGAAACATGGAAAAATCCTTTCTTGATTTCAACATAGCTGTGATCGAGGAAATCTGTGACAAATACTCTTCTGCTGTATACTCATTAGTGCGGTCTAGTGTTGATAGTTTTATGAACAAGCTTTGTAGGGATGCATTTTGCAAGCCACATACCACCAAATTCTATATAAAAAAAAGGAGGGGGAACCTATGTGCTGTGTGTTGCTCCAGAAAAAAAAAAGACAACAATGGGGGAAATACATAAAGAAAATCACATTTGATGTAAAGTTGGATTATGTTTAGAGCTGTGTTCTAAAGTTTACTGCACTAAAAAATATTTTTGTGTAATAATAAGTGAATGCAAGTAATATTATTAGCTGTACAAATTAGTTAGCATGTGTATTTATCAAAAAAAAAAAAAAAAGATCCTGTGGATTTTTATATTTTATTCCATGCATGCTAAAGTCACATGAGCCATATTTAATGTTTTGTAAAAATTAAAATTCCTGCATTATACTAATTTTGTTATGTGAATAATAATATATGAAGGTAGAGAAAATATAAAAAGGATCCATATTTCAGGACCAGAATGTATAAAAATCGAGTAGTATATGGAGGGTTAAGTATGTATTTCTTAAGATGTGAATAGGAGAAATAATACTAGCATGAAAATGATTATTTCTTAGACAATGTTGATGTCAAAGCATAGTTACCAATGAATATGGTTTTCTGTAAAATAGTGACTAAAAATACTTTTAACTTTCATATTATTGTATTTATCATATTATAAGGCTGATTATTGATTTATGTTTTTTGTCTGCTTTTATATTTAACTTGTATTTTTGAAATTTTCTTGCCTTCTGCCCCCATGTTTTTCCCCATCATAACATTCTATGGGGGGGGGAATGCATAACAACAGTGTAATAAACCTTTCAGGGAGGAAATCATGGAATGAAACTTATTTTGTAAGCTGGTTTCAAAAGTCTGATAGCCTGAGTTCTGTTGTCTCCTGTTCTAGAAATTTAGGTAGAAAACCTCGACTATCGGGAAGAAAATTCCAGATATTTGAATGTATAAAAAATACAAATTACTTTTAAAAAGCCATATAAATGCCGGAAATTTTTGGTTAAAAATTTGTTAGAAACTCCAATATAATAAACCTACATTTAAACTTATGTAATCATGAAAAAATGCTTTTCAACAGCTGACGTATTTCATATCCTTAAAACATTTTAAAGTAAAGCATCCGATTATGAAATCCCATCAACCATGAAAGTTGGTGGAAATGTTGCCAAACTTGTGCCAATAATTACAACATTAATTTTAAGCAAGATATAAGATACAGATTTAACATAAAAAAACTTAATCGCTTATCAAAGTTTTTCTTCGTGTATTTCTAGTATTTATCCATTTTAAAATAAATTCACATATTATGCCAATTAATTAACATTTTCTTAATGAATACCTTAATTTAAAAAATATTGCACTGTATGCTGTTTTGTAAAAGGAAGGTCCGAAATTGTAATCTTTTTTTTTTTTTCTTTTCCCCAAAATGCACTAGAAAAACAGATAAATAATTGGTAAGTTATATACTTCTTTAGAAGACTTTTTAGACTTCTTTAGACTAAACTGGCTTATCGAAAATAGACTGGGTTTACATGAAACAAAGGTGAAGATCTTATAGTTGTGTTATAAAGTCTTGCTTATCCATTATTGATGCTAATTGTACTATTTGGCGAATGTATCCAAGAAATGCTTTATAAAGGCTTTGCATGCTTAATTTGCTGAATATTTTGGAGGGGAAGTTTGTAAAATATTTTGGTCAGTTGAATACCTGAAAATCCGATTTTCACTGTGTGAAAAAATAGAAAATATAATTTTTAATTAAATTTTATAAAATTTCAATGATAAAATAAGAATATTCAATTATGAAAAGCTGTATGAATGCCAGAAATTTTTGGTCAAAAATTATTAAAACAATTATATTGTTTGTTATAAACTTGAATATCATAAACCTACATTTAAAATTATGTAATTTTGAAAAAATGCATTTTTGCACCATCATTTTCAATTTTGGCTATTTCAGTTATCTTTTCTTCAGAAACAGAATTATAATTCCTTTTTGTTAATAGAAATTGTAGTATTTTTACATTCTTTATTATAAGCAGGGCTTTTTAAAGCAAAATTAATTCTTCCTGGAGCCACACTTCTGCTTTATTACTTTTATCTGTTCATTTTTCAGGGCCATAAATTATTGGTTATATATAAACAAGGAAATATATGTTGGTATTCTTCAAGAAACTGGCTTGTTTATCTGGTAATTACATAAGATTTTGAAATATTGTGGAAGCAGCTCCATTGCTGGTAGACCTAAATTTGATTTCTGGATATAGTATAGATATTTATGCTGTCTCCTCTGCTATGAAAAATGCAATATCTGCTACCTTTTGCGAAACATTATGAGCCAGCTGTCTCCTAACAAAGCTTTAACTGATGAGCCCGGCCTAGGAGCAACTGTCTCTGATATATAGATATTTATATAAAGTTTTGACATAAATTGGAGATTTAATTTTGGAAAGCTCTTGTGACATAATTTAATGATGATCTTAAATTTAAGTGTGATACCAGCAAAGTAAATATTATGTATAGATTTTTATTTTATCAAGAATATTGTAATAACACAATATTTTTTATGTTGCTGTATATGAAGCCAATTACCTTATACATCTGTGTGATTTTTTTCCAATCCCTGCATGTAAACTAAAAATTATAAGAATGTAATATCCTGCTATCTTTTAACTGTAGAATGTTAAAAGTATATGCAGGTTTTTGAAGAATAGGTTTAGTGAATAATTCTTGAAGTATGATAGTGAACTCATTCAAAACATATGGGTAAGAAAAGTGCTGTAAAATTAACTCCTTGACACATGAATAAAATTGCAGAAGTTGATGCACTTAAAAATTGTAGAAACAAAATTTTGAACTGTTAAAAAACTATATATATCCAATTGTATAAATGTGCACTTCATAATAAAATCTTGTTTTTAACTGACTGTATTTCATGACATGGGATGTATCAAAATCTGTTTTGATATTAATAATAAATGCACATCCCAGACATCGTATGCCAAAGGGTTGAATAAGAAGTACTGTATTCAAAGATAATCTTTGCCTACTATATTGTTGGTATTTTGATATAATTTTGTGCATCTATTGTAAATTTATCTTAAAAGGATAATCAGTCTTTTCTAGAAAATACCTGTATCAAGGTGGTTGCTTTGACAGTTTTTTCTTTTATTACAAAATATTTTGGGTGGTGTTAAATATCTAAATTTTTGGACCCTCAAATGTGTTAATTTCCTTGATGTAATATCTGCTTGAAATTTATACATTCCCTGTGCTGGGCAACAAAATCACCAAAACTAAATTGGTGTGCACGACCATTAAGATACATTTTTACTCATGAGATGGTTATTCAGAGAAAATAAAAAAAGTTTTGTTCAGAAAGCAGATTTTTTTCCACTTTGTTGTTAAGTCTTTGAGGAGCATTGTATTATTAAGTGATTTATTTGCTTTTAACTGGCTATTGATACAAATCTGTGATATAGTATTCTGTGTTTAGAATCTCATGTAAATAATTTGTAATTCAGTCTTGCTCATTAGGTTAATTTATTAAAGCAAAGCAGGCCATGGCTGTTTGGCTTAGGGGAGGAAAATTTTTTGGGGGGTTTTATAGCAAGGAATGTCTTCTAACTTGGAACCCTCAATTTTCATGTAAAAATATATATATAAATAAATCTATTTACCATTAAAATATATAATAGTAAAAAATAGAAATTAACTGCTAATATTTTTATAGACAAGTCTCTCAGAAATTATTAAATACAAAGGTTTTGATCACCAGTGGCAAAATTTGGCAAAGCTTTTAAAATTTTCTAAAATCAAAATAGCACACTGGTAAAAGCAGTTACATTTCCATATTTTAAATTTCCAGTTTACTTGAATTTAGCAGTTGATTTTTTTTTTCAACATTATGTGATTGTAATAGAGCTTTTACTTTTTTTAATTGCTATATTCTTAGTAATTTCAATGTTTTATCAAAAATGCTTCCTCGGTTTTTTAACAAAATTACAATCTGCATTTACAAGAACTTTAAACTGATTGGGAGGGGAAAAGTTGATCCTACATGTCCTAAAAAGAAAGATACCAAGTTAAAATTAACTGCTGAATATCCATATATGAAACAAAGATAAACAAAACATCTAATTTTTAGTCATTTAGAAGAAATTTTCTATCAGAATTGGCTGCAAATTAAGGAATCTTTTGTTTCAATAGCCTTAGGTCAAGAAATTTCAGTTTGCTAATTGCAGCTGGTAATAAACAGATTACGGTTTTTATGTTTTGATCTATTTGTACTGTAGATGCAATCTATTGTCAGCATGTTTATTATCACATAAACTGTGTATTGTTTGTGCTAAAACAGCTATAATATGAAAAAAAATTTCCACAGTAAAATACAAAACTTTCAGAATTTCCTGTATTCCTGCCAAAGTTTTTGAAGGTAAAATTTATCCAATTTTGAATCGTTTTCTTTTAACATATTATGTTTTGCTGTTCAAAATACATCTTTTGCTTTTTATCTCTTCATTTACCATTTTATATTTTTATTGTGGAAATCAATCAGCTCAACAGATTTTCCCATTTTCATATCTGAAAATTGTCAAACTGTACTGTGCTGGCATGTCGTTTTGTTTCTTACAAATTTTACCTCCCTATCTATGTAATATTAGCAGCAAAATTTTCCACTGTTATGTGTTTCTAGATCAGGTTATTCATATCCATGCTGGAAACTGGCTCATATTTATGTAGTAAATCTCCAAATTTCTTGTGAGTCAACCTGTTCAACCACGATTTGAGTGTGGGATAAACTACTGAAGCCCATCTTTCTTATCCACTAAGCCATTTATAAGATATTAGAGGTTTTTTTTTTATTTTAGCTATTATCTGAAGTTTTTTCACTTATATTTCAAAGGTAGTTTGCATAACAAACAACTCATTTACAAAGCAGTAAAGTTTTTCATAATTATATTCATTTTAATAATTTATCTTATTAATAGAATTAATGTGTCCTTCATATTTTTATGAATATTTATGCTGCTGTTGTTAATGAAATTGATTCTAATGACATATGTTGCATACTTTCATGCAGAATAATTGTGCCTCATAATTCTTTTTTTCTTAAATACCTTTAGTAGGTCTTTGCCATGGACCCATATAAATAATTAATGTCTGCATCATTTGATTAAAATATGTCATGGTTTTGGGGGGAGATGGATGTGGCAATAAAATTTGAATTAATACATTGCCCATTTGTTCAGCAAGTGTTCTTGTTAAAACAAGTATTCTCCAGTGCCTGGAATCCAT